CTGGTAGGGAAACTGTGAGGTAATGTTAAGAATTTGCTTTAGTACACAACAAATCCTGAAAAATGTTTTGATTGTAACTGAAAAATATTCTCAGATATGCTACTCTGATCTACCAGAAAAAAGTTCACAAATGGGAGTTGTGAACACATACACATATATACCTATATTTACACACATACAGAACTATATATACACAAACACGTGTATTACTCTGTGTACAGTACTACTCTGTTTCCAAATCTCTATCAGTGGATAACTATTGCAGAGGGTTCTAGAATTAGTAAATTAGTAACTTCTCCTCTTTTATATTCTGTAAGCAGCAGCTGATATCCGAGCAATAGTAAACACACTGCTACCATCTGTTTGTAATACTGTTTGTATTTATTTGGGTCAATGGCAACTAAGTCCCACACCAATGTCAGGCGGAGATGACTTTTTCCATAGAGTTGAATGGATAGAGTAGTCACCCGCTCAGTAATGGTAGAATGGCTGCCTTTACTTTAGGCTGTTCTGACCATGTAACTCAATGGTGTAGTGGACTCGAAGGTGGTCCTTCTTTAACAATGCTAACCTAACCAGCAACTCCAGTGTTAAGCGAGGCTGTCGTAAGTCGAAAAACCACGTGGCTGCATGGCTTAGCAATGGCAGTCCCTGTTGCTCTTAAGCGAAGACTGTGGAAAACAGGTGACTCTGACTTCCCGCTGGCTTCCGCATTGACTCTGCTTATGGAAAGCCAGCAGGGAAGGTTACAAAAACATGATTTGTGTGACCACAAGACGCTGTGACGGCCATCGGGACAGGTCATCGCTACAGCCTCTCCTTCAGGCTCATGGCCAGTTCAAACTGACCGAGCGTGAGTTCAAATTGAACAAACCGCTGTTAAATGAGAACTACCTGTAATCAGGGTAAGATGCCACACGGTCTCTCCTGCTGTTCCGTTTCTCAAATCAGGGCCCCACTCAACCATCTTGCTTCCCCCCCCTCCCCCCAGATCTTCAGAAGGCCACCTGCAATTTACAGCTGCTGCCTGAAGATGGCAAAACAATCCCACATTCCTAGTTTCATGTAAATCGTGGTGTGTGTGCGGCGATGGGAAGATCCATTTCAGCAAACGGAGAAGACTTGCACTTAGGAGTTGTTGATATATATATATATATATATTTTGGGCACACCTTAGGATGCTCCAAGGGTCATTATTTTCTTAGGAAGAGAAGTTAAGAAATTCCAAAGTCTGGGAGCCAAAAAGACAGAAGGAACACTCTGTCCGTGCGCTGCAGTGACTTTTCGGACCCGCGTGCAAAATGCAGAGACCAAATTGCCTTCAGTTGCACCAGGAGGCAGACAACTCCCTCTCTGGCTGTAATAACTTATGCTGATCCCGTTTGTGGCCTTTTATCTCTTTTTTTTTGCTGTGCTCTTACCGTCTGCTCAGATTACTCCATTTTTATGTTTGTCAGCGTGGCACGTGAGAGGGATAATTTGTATGCCACGGATTAAACGGGTGATGTAAATTATTAAAGACCTAATTCATAAAGGCATTACACATACCATATGCAGTATTGTTATTTTTTACCCCCCCCCCCCCTTTCTTACCTCTGGTGGCGTCGGCTTGGTTTTGTCAAAGTCTCTTCTTCCTGGACCTTTGAGCAAGCAAAGGAAAGGATCTGGGTTTGTTAGACAACTTTGCCACAGCAAGGAGGCTTTCCTACAAATTAATTTTCTCCCTTTTATCTCACAGAGTGACCCTGCAGATCCTGGGAAAGAGGCATTCTTCTCCTCTTGACAGGCATGGAGCCATGTGAAGGATGGCTTTCTTATCTCTGGTGGAAGCAGGATGCAAACCTTCCCACTGAAAATAAGCAAGCTTCCTTGCATGCAGAAAACTAGCAAGCCCAACCTCAGTTCCTCACTTTCCCATGAAATGCTAGCAGTCATAAATAAGGGAAACATGCAAACGTTAAATTGCATGATTTTTCGAAGACTTGCCTATTCTAGAATCATTGGGTTCCTTCTACTCAACTCACTGGCCAGGATAGGACTTCCCAGATCATCTGGGATCAATGTCTGTTCAACCTTGGCTTCAAAACCTCCAGCGATGGAGCTTTGGTGATTCCAGGAGGCAGGCAGTTCCCCTGCTCAATAGGCCACATGGTCAGTTAACTATTTGGGAAAAGCCCAAGCCAGAACGATGGTTCACACAGAGTTACTCCATGCCATCTCCTCTGGGACAACCAGCTCTGCAAGGAAAGCCACTGAAAGCATTCAGAGACACCACAGGCGCTCTCTTCTATACCCTTCCAACTCCCAGTTGCTTTTATTAATCTGGGGAAGGATCCCTAGACTGGAAGTTCCAGATTCAATCCAGAGAGTTTATTTTAAAGAAAGGGAGCTGGGGATATATTTTGAGACCCATGTCAATCTCTTAAACCTGAGATCACGAAGAGGCAGGGCCAAAGCAGATTCTACTCAATCCACAGAAGTATTCTAATGAAGAGCTGTCTCACCGGCAACAGGTTTAGGGATATTCCTTTTCTAATCCACCCATCTGCCTTTCTCCTGCAAAAAAAAAAAAGTCAATTCCTTTAGTCTGGGTCAAGAGGCATCTTTTCTGCAAAGGGAACAATCTTTGTACGTGTATTATTAGCAAGAGGGAGGTAATGAAAGGCTCAGTCCAGGCAAAATACAAAAAGGAAGTGGATTTTTGCAAAAGACCAATTGCTAAGGGCAACAATTAAGGATGTGGAAGCTAAATCAATGGGAGGTTTAACTTCAGCTGCAAAGGTGTTTTGGCTTTTGAATCAAGAGGGATGATTAACCTGTTAACCACCCAGAGGGATGGGCTAGATTCCCAGCCTCAGCAGCTTTTAAGATGCTTGGACCTCAACTTGCAGAATTTTCCCTGTGTGTGTGTGTGCTTAAAGTCGAGAACTACCTGTATATTTTTTTAGGTTAGATGTTTGCTTTTATACAGGTAGTCCTTGATGGCCACAATTTGAGTCCAAAATTTCTGTTGCTACGTGAGACATTTGTTAAGAGAGTTTTGCCCTGTTTTACAACCTTTCTTCCCACGGCTGTACAGTGAATCACTGCAGTTGTTAAACTAGTCACACAGTTGTTAAGTGAATCTGGCTTCCCCCATTGACTTTGCTTGTCAGGACGACGCAAAAGGGGATCACATGAGCCCCCGGGACATTGCAACCGTCCTAAATACGAGTCAGTTGCCAAGCATCCGAATTTTGATCACGTGACCGCAGGGATGCTGCAAGGGACGTTAAGCGTGAAACAGTCAGAAGTCACTTGTTTCGGTGCAGTTGCAACTTCGGTCACTAAATGAATTGTTGTAAGTCAAGGACTACCCGTGTTTGCCAATTCACGTTTCTATATATGTCTCGGCATTTTTAATGTTCCCGTGTAGAATGTTAAAGTTTATATAATAAAGCCAAATGTAGGCCAAAATGTACTACTCGTGCCATTTCAAGGACTAATGATACGTTTCCACCACACAGTCTGCCTTGAGCAAGGTGCCTTTTTTGTCACACTCAATCTTTCCATTCAGTGCAATTTCTGCTCCGGGGCTGCTGCGCGCCCCTCAAATCCTGCTCAGATCCTTACAACTCTAACCCGTTTCCTTTCTGGCTTGGATGACAGCTCTGGAGCTGCTTAAACGGCTCCAGGGGTGACATTTTGCAGATTGTTTTAAAGGGGAAAAAAAAAGACTTCACCTCTTTCAACAAGGAAAAGGCCAAAATTGAGCATAAAGTCTTTATTTTTTTGGCAGGCACAAATTAGGAACTGTTAGTCCTTCCTTATAGAAGTGTCACCGCTTGTTGTTTTTTAAATTCACCTTTTAAATAAATTCTAACATTCCAGGTAGGAGGTTTTTCTACTGTGGAGAAAAAAAAGTGGTAAGAAAAACCCATTATCACCTTCCCCAGAAGGACTATTTTCAAGGCCTCGTGGATTCTTCTGCCAGTCAACCGCCACTTCATTTGATGGTTTTGGAATCCCACAAGACATTGCAGGTAGTCTTGAGTTACAAGTAACGCTGGGACCAGGGTTTCCGTTGCCAAGCAAGGGGCTTGTTGTGAGTCGTGCCGTATTTGGATTTGTTAAATGTGCTGAGCCATAATTTATTTGTATCCCAGCTTTATAAAAACTCAAGGCGGCAAAGCTATCCAAATAGCTTACTCCTCCTTATTGTTCCCACAACAGCCTTGTGAGTTGGGCTGGGCCGAGAATGAGTGATTGGACCAAAGCCAGCCAGCCAGTTTTCAAGGCTAAGGTGGGACTAGAATTTCTGCCTCCTGCCAATTGGTCCAGAACCACCCAGTTGGCTTTCATGCCTACGACGGGACTAAAACTCTTGTCTACTGGTGTTTGGTCCCAAATCACCTACCCAAAGCAGGACTAGAACTCATGATCGCCTGGTTTTCTAGCCTGATGCTTTAACCATTAGACCAGGGGTAGGCAACCTTGGCTCTTTTATGACTCGTGGACTTCAATTCCCAGAATTCCTGAGCCAGCCATGAATTCTGGGAGTTGAAGTCCACGAGTCATAAAAGAGCCAAGGTTGCCTACCCCTGGCATTAGATCAAACTGGCTCGGTAAACTATGGTTTACAGATGCAAAGGGACTGGGTTGAACCTTCCTGTGGTACACAAACCCAAAGAATCTGACAGCCACATCCATTCTACCCACCCAAACTAAATGCCTCTAAAATCTGGGTTCCAGATCACGACGTTATTTGATTCTGGAAACTTGAAGGTCACAATGGAAGGCATTCCCTGACTTGTTAGTGAAATTAAGGCAACCGTTAACAAAGCAGGGTCTTCCTTTCTCAAAACACCACACTCCCTACCCCATAAGGCCACTGAACTTGTGAGTTGGAGACCCAGGCCAACACAACAGTAAACACTCCCTCACCTTGTCTTATAACCAGCGGACTACCGGAAGGAGTTCAATGGGGAAAGAGAAAGAAAAAAACGCCATGACAGTTGAAACACAAGACAAAAAAAGGCACATTTTAATATTTACAAAGCATAGCATTTGGGCCATGAATGCACCCCACACACATCTATAAAGAAATCTCTGCTCTCCTTTCCTTTAGTCACCTACCTTTGCAAACGGCGGGTTTCGCACCGCCGCAATGTACTCCCTTAGCTTTTGATATTATTTTTTTTTTCAAGTAATAAAGATTCAAATTTGCATAGTGTCTTTGATCAGCAAACCCGCTCACGTGGCCGTCTTTTCTCAGATCAACTGCCCATCCTAATCGCCGTTCTCGCGAGGCGGAAGCGGTGGCGTCCGCCATCGTCTTTTTATCTTTTAGCTGCGGCTCAAGACATAACCTCGTTAAAAGCAGGAACTCTAGAATATTGTCAAGAAGTTTTAAAAATGTAATACTGTTTATTTTTGCTTCAAAAACATTTCAGCATTCTAAACATACAAAAAAAACCAACGTAATGTTTGTTGCAATTATTTCTTTTTTTTTCTCTCTCTTTCGTTTCTTTTTAAGTACAGAGGCGTTTTTGAACTCTTCTGCGCCCTCTCCTCACTTTTAAAGCTGACCACGGAAGGAGACTTACAGGTCTGGTTGAAAAACTACCCCGGCTTTAAACTAAAAGGAAAAGAAAAAAGAAAAAAAAAAAGGAATCCATACAATTTTCTTGTTTTATCTCATGCCGGCTGAATCCCCCCTCCCTTCTTTCATAACTAAGGATGGCTGCAGAATGCTATTTCACTATATACAGAAAGACAACTTTTAAGCTAAATGTACGCTCACTGTAGTGTAAATTAGATCTACTTTCGTGGTCCACGCTTTGAGACACGGCCTTTATCCGAGGGGGGGGGGAAAAAAAACCACAAAGAGCCTTTTCCCCCCCCTCCCTTAAAGCCATTTCCCCCCCCATTCTCAGGAGTGATCAAAGCATGAACTACAAGAATTTGTCTAGTTTTTACAAACTATAGATATGTACAGTTTATAACCCAGGATTTTTCTAGCCAATAACCATATAGTTAAACACCACCTTACAAATTAAAAAATAAGATGCTTGAAACATTTTTAAATGCTTTGTTACACCGACAGGAAAAAAGTGCACAGAGTTAGGAGAACACGAGAGCGTCTTTTGTTTCCATTTGCTATTATTTTTTTTCCCCCTCTTCCTTTTTGTTTTTAAAAATGTTTGGAAATATGTACAACTTTGTTACAGAGTCAGGACCCCGGAAGAGGGTCCCTAGCTACTGAATGTAAACCAGGTTACAATGGTTATTATTTCGTTTTTGTTTCTGCGATTTCTTTTTCCCCCCAGAGCGCTTTTTATTTATTGACTTCCAAAAAGGCTACAGTATTGTGATCAAAAAAACCAAATTTGGGTGGTAAATCTGAATAAAGGGCAAATAAGGCACCATCTCAAGCAAGAGGTGCCAGAATTTTTTTTTTCTTTTCTTTTCCAAATGGTGTTTCCCCTACTCTATGGTATTCACATGGAAACAAGGATTATACACAGTTTCTCATTCATCATCTTCCTCCTCCTCCTCGTCTTCATCTTCCTCCTCGTCGTCGTCTTCCTCCTCCTCCACTTTTTTCCGGGCAGCTGCAGCGGTTTTAGCGGCTGCGCTCTTAGCTCCATCAAACTTGCCTTTAGATTTATAATCTGCAACATCCTGTAACATCAAATAGAGAAAGTTTAGTTCCCTTCGGCAGCACCACCAACAGGGCACCTGCAATTCTGGCTGGTTTAGGGAAAGAGCCAAAAATTAAACCTGGGTTTATTGGCCGAACCAAGGCGGTGGCTTGTTTATCTTCACCCTTTATTCAATTTTTTTTTTAAATAACTGCCTGAATTTGGAAATGGAAGGACCCTTGGATTCCCACAATGGAGGAATGGCTGCAAAAGCTGATCGAGTTAGCAGCGGTGGCTAAACTGACTGCTTTGATTAAAGGAAAAAAAATAAACACAATTACTTTTTATTTCTACTTGGAAAAGCTTCTGGACTTTATGCTTGAGGTAGGTGGGGGAAAAATGAAACTTTGATTTTGGGTTTTATCGATTAGATAGGTTTGTTGTTATAGACATGGCTAGTTTATGTTAGTATGTACAAGTAAAAAGTTGAGATTTGATGTTAGTATCTTATTCTACTGCACTAAAAGGAGTTTGAAGTCAGTGCCTTTTCTTTCTTCTTCCCCTTTTCCCTTCCCTTCTCCCTCCCCTATTTTCCTACTATTTTCTTTTATATTTTACATTACAAATTAATAAAAAAACTGCCTGAATTTTCACAAGTTGCCAGATACTGATGCTCGCCAGCCACTCGCCAATCAGAGGCTCTGCTAACTAGCTAACCCAAAATAAAACTTAGAAGAGGAACGGAGATACTTAGAAAGTTTTACTTCACAAGGAGAACTGTAGGGTCTCCTCTTTGCTTTGTCAACATAATTAGCATTAAACAGTGGCAAAAATACTATGCTGTTGTTTTTACAACCTAAGGCTCGTCTTTTACCTACATTTAATGGCTTAATTCTTTTAGCAGAACTTGGGAGGAAGCAAAAACAGTCAAAAAAGGTCTTCATATATCAGAAACGCATTCCTATTTTCACTAAATTTACTGAGTTCAAGTCAGTTAAAGGTCACAAACGTCTCACATTACCTGCCTGAAGCATCTGAGACAGGATGACTTAAAACATTTCTGACTTAGGAAGGGAAAAAAATATATCCTAAAGGCTACTGATGCAGTTGGACAGTTGGCTAAAAATTATGGAGGTATAGGTAATCCTTGATTTACGACTATTTATTTAATGACGGTTGGAAGCTACATCCTCAGAAGAAACGACTTATAACGGATCTTCAAAGTTACGAGTGTCATACCACCAATCACATGATCGCAATTGGGGCACTTGGAAACCGACTCACGCTTATGACCGCCATTATCTCCTGGGCATGGGATCGAAAGCCAGAGCATTTGGCAACTGGCATGGATTCACACAATTGTTAATTTGTGGCTTTTGCTTGTTTTGCTGGCTTCCGACCAGCAAAGTCCACGGGGGAAGCTGGATCCGCTTAACAACCAGGGCGATAACGGTCATAAAATCGGTCACTGGATGATTCTTTTAACAACCTCCTCGCTTAGCAACCAAAATTCCAGTCCCACCGGTGCTCCTAAGTTGAGGACTGTCTGTAGAAGTTAAACCAGACACCTGGTGATTTCATGGTGTGCTCAACCTCCTGTTTTCTTAGCAATAAACATGATGGCCTTGTTTTCTTTCAGGATGCCTTGTAAATTTCCAAGTCTAACATCCTATTTCCAATAGCAAAATGGAATCCAGTAGAAAACATCTACAGCTCAAGGTTGAACAGGTTGAGTGCTTGGTGTTCCTTCAGCCTGGATGCTTTCCTGCGGATTGGCAGGTGTTCTATTACCAGTCTAAGTTACATCATCAGCGGAGGGGAGGAGTAGCATTCAACTTGGCCTGCCCATCTTAGCTGGGGTGTGGTTTATTCCCTGATTGTTTGTCTGCTGCTGTTTCCTGCTTGTCTGGGTGTTGGCAGCTGGGAGGACCTGCTCTAGGCTACTCCGAAGTTGCACCAGATAAAACGATCAAGGGAGAAACAAATCTCCTAATCAAGGAAGAAGCCACACCTCAACCAAGACCACTCCCTCATTGCGCTGATGAGGTTACCTAAGCAGGTAATGAAATGTCTGCAGGAAAAACCAAGCTTGAAGAACACCAAGTGCCCAATCCTCTTTCACCTGCTTGGTTGAACTCCTGGAGGAAAAGCAGGAATACAAAGGGCACTAAATGCCAGTCTACCGTATCGTTCTGTTAGAAGGGCGCCCTGTTTGGATATAAACCTGAAACAGACTCTGGATCTGGTTTGGGTGCTCCGTTAATCATCGCGACAGGCAACAAGCACATTCCTAGCAGACTCAAAGCGCTATTTCTGCTTCACTTCGGAATATTGAACACGACCACCTGCTATATATACAATATAATATTGTGATTCCAAGAGGGGAAAATATTTGTAGCTCAGGATTGTGGGCTCCTCTGTGCTGTCAGAGCTTGGTTTTCTTGCAGACATTTAGTGACCCAACTAGGTAACATCATCAGTGCTAGAAGGGAGTGGGGGTATGCTCTTATTTTTATATACCAGTGGCTTGCCCTATCAAGTTTTTGGTGGAAGTAATATTGAGGGTTACTCGATTAAGCTGTTGTTTACTTGATTGTTGGTCCACCAACACTGACAGAGCAACAAACCACACTCCCTTCTAGCATTGACGATGTTACCTAGTTTGGTAATGAAAAGGCCTGCAAGAAAACCACCAAGGTCAGAGGGCACCAAGGACCCCAAAATATAGTGATTAAACCATCATTGTGCACACGTATTCTTAGATTTGCTCCCCAAATCAAGAAGGGTACATGTATTTGCTTGCCCCAGCCCGGCCATCACCTTCTCCCTGGACCAAAGCTACCCAGAATTGCTTCAGGCTGCAACAGCAGCCCAGCCTTACCTTCTCATACTTCTCCTTCAGCTTAGCAGCTTTGTTGTTGTAGGGCTGCTTCTCGCTGTCACTGAGGTTGTTCCACATTTCGCCCAACTTCTTGGCTACATCTCCGATGGAAATGCCTGGATTGGTGGACTTGATTTTGGGACGGAATTCCGAGCAGAAGAGGAAAAACCCAGACCTTGGGGGAAGGGAGAAGATACAGGAGAGCTGAAAACAGGAGAGGGTCAGGAGCTTGGAAGCAAACTAGGGTGAGGTAGCTGGACCAAGGAGCTACAGTGATTTGCCTCTAATGAGGCCCACAATGGTAATGCACGAGTCTCAAGCTTGCACGCCTCTTTTCTGGTTTCTGACACAGATGTCAGAAGGAGCTAATGAGGACCAGCTGGGACTTGGCCAAAGATCCAGGTCTGATCTTCACAGCCCCATCAAAAACTCCCTGCAACACATCAGAGTTGTGTTCAAGCAAGATTGCAGTCCATACGCTTTAGCAAAGCTAAAACAGATGTCAACATCCCAATAAAAGCGGGCAGGATGTATGATCATTTGACTGATATTAACCCAGGTAAGATACTTATAATATCTTAGAAATCTGAGAATTCTCCATTTTAAATCTGTTTTTTTAAAATAAAAATAAAAAACAGGCAGGACTTGAGGAACTATCCCTTAATAAGGCTAATCCAACTGCAGTGATTTAGAATATCATAATGCCCTCTCTATCTTCCTGTGTTGTAGCATTCAAAAACATCTGTGGATTGATCCAAAGAGGACATTCATCAAAGCAGGCTGCAAATTGCTGTATCAGTTACTCACTACAAAAATGTCAAGTTTAGGATTCAGGTTTTTTAAAGTTTAGAGGGACTGGAAGAATTTAAAAAATTCCCAACTATGGGAAACAATGACTGAAAGCTGTAGTCTCTTTAAAAAGCAGCTTCCTAAAGCTGCGATAACAGTTCAGGAACGCCCTGCTATATCCATCCCCTGCCTTATTCAACTGCTTCTGAAAATGCCAAGTATCAGAATGGAGAGGGTTGGAGTGAAGGAGGCGGATACTTACGGCGGCCTTTTGGGTGCATTTGGGTCCTTCTTCTTCTTCCCCCCCTTTGCTGGACCATAATCTTTCATTTCTCTATCATATCGTACTTTGTCAGCCTTCGCCATCTCATCAAATTTTCCTTTCTCTTTGGTTGACATGGTCTGAAAGACAAAACAGAATCCTAAAAAAAAAATACCCAAAACACCTACCAACTCTAAATGAAGTCATCAAAGTAGGGTATAACCACAGTGAGAATTGGGGAGAAAAACCCTTTGATGGGGTTTTTCAGGTCTCCTTCTAGCATCAGAAGAGACATCAACCAAGCACCATGGTAGAGTGAAGGGTTGCAATTCAGATCCAATCTCCCAAAGACAATATAGTGTAAGGCAGGGGTAGTCAACCTTGGCTCTTTTATGACTCGTGGACTTCAACTCCCAGAATTCCTGAGCCAGCTGTGCTGGCTCAGGAATTCTGAGAATTGAAGTCCACGAGTCATAAAAGAGCCAAGGTTGACTACCCCTGGTGTATGAGGATGTGGCCTACCCACCATGCTTTAAAGCAGGGGTCTTCAAACTTGGCCCTTTTATGACTTGTGGACTTCAACTCCCAGAATTCCTCAGCCAGGAATGCAGCCGTTTTAAAGTATGGAAAATGGCTACTGCAGTTGTCTTCCACATGCTCAAAAAAAGAACTTTGGGAAGATCCAATGTGAAGCTTTCCACCTAACAACACAGTCTCAAAGCTGGCTAAGATATCTTTAACCACCAGCAGTTGGGTTGGTCTTCAACAGTGATCAATAAAATTCCCTTTTTATGAGTCCTAAAAAAAAACTAAGCTGAAGAACCATCTCTTTGGGATGGGTTATGTCAGTTATGTGAGCAAGAATTTTTTCTCTTTCCAGAGAAACAAGCCAACATACAACTGAGTAGAGTTCATGCATCACACGACAAAGTCCATTTGGTTTGAACTCAGGGACCGCTGTTCAGAAACCATAGCTTAGTGTAGCCAAACCAACTATAGTTGTATGCGTTGTGTGAAGTTGATTTAGATTGCTACAGAATTTCTCACCTTCAACAGAGAGAGTAGTGTTGTCACATCAGAACCCTAACTACGAATTCAGTTGTAATAAAAGAAAACCAAACATATGTGGGTGAAATTCAGAAGTCTTGTTCAAAATCATTGGGGCGGGCCATCTTTTCATCAAGGGCACATCTAAAATGTTGATACCAAGTGGAAGCCCCCCCCCAAAAAATGGTTGCCACAGTGGGCATGACCAACCATGAAAATACCCACAAACCTCCTTCTGGACACGGTGCCCGTATCATAATCCACTCCATTGAAAATAGGATTACAAGGAAGCAGTTTTGTTAAGGCCACAAATAGGAGAAAGTTGAAATAAGGAAGGAAAGGGCTGAGGACGCAGGGGGCGAAATTTGAAATTTATTTCACTGGAAGTTGGACGGCATATCAGTTTAATAAATGATGAATTACTTGGCCAGCTATCCTGAAGATCTTTGGAATACCAGGGAGGGAAGCACCAGAATTTATTCTCGGGAGACCATACCTTCCACCTCTCTGAACATTTCTTGGAGAACTCTGCAAAGTTGACAGGAACTTCTGGATTCTTTTTCTTATGCTCTTCACGGCAGGTCTGCACAAAGAACGCATAAGCGGACATCTTTCCTTTCGGCTTTTTGGGGTCGCCTTTCGCCATTTTTAAAGGAAACACTTCAAAGCAAAGAACAATTCACAGTTTAAAATCAATCTTGCATTCCCTTGTGCAGCCAAGATAATATGTGTCAAATTTGTTTTGCTAAGCGAGTTTTTCCCCCGTTTTAGGACCTTTCTTGCCCTTGTTGTTAAGTGGATCACCGCAGTTGACAAGTTAGTAACCCAGTTGTTAAGTGAATCTGGCTTCCCCATGGACTTTGCTTGCCAGAAGGTCACAAACGGGAATCATGTGATCCCGGAACCCTGCAACTGTCATAAATACAAGTCAGTTGCCAAGCCTCTGAATTTTGATCACGTGACCATGGGGACCTTGCAAGGGTTGTAAATGTGAAAAAATAGTCATAGGTCACTTTTTTCAGTGCCGTTGTAACTTCGAACAGTCACTAAAGAAACTGTTGTCAGTCCAGGACTACCTGTACACACCCTGCAGCCCTTCAATTGGTCAAGAAATGGGGAAATATTTTTTAAATATGCTTTTCTCGGGAAAATGCCCATCACGCTCAACCCTTTAGCAGTCCATCCATCCCCTTAAAAAGTCTTCATTTCTGCCTCTTTTGCTGTTATGGCATGTCCCACCCTAACTCTCTGCTGACAACTCATGAAAAAAACAAGTGCAAAGCAGCCAGGAATAAGCCAGAATATATTTCAAGAGATTAAACACGTGGGTGCCCACTTGTAGGCTGGGGCTGGCTGGCCCACCCACTCCGGTAAACTTCTGGAGAACTTCAACCTTCCCATGTCAAGATAGCTGCAGGCGACCTCTCCCTTATCCTTGGAAAACAGTTCAATCCCATTTAAAGATCTTCCCCCCTCCCCTAATTATTGCACACATCAGAGGACTGCAGTGCCGCTGTATCCAAAGAGATTGTGGTCATTAAAAGAAGGTTGGTGGCCATTAAGAGGCTGGTCAGCCCAGCAGCTGCTTGCTAAGTTTGGGAAGAGGAAATTTTTTTTTTATCTCCTTCCAAGTTTCCTGCAAAGGGGAAGGATTGGCGAGGGCAAGAAGAGAGAGGAGGGTGGTTGTTTTGTGTTTCCTGAAGGAGGGGGCAGAAGCAGCTTTATTTTAGCTGGGGGAGGGCGATTAAACCCTCTTCCCTTTTCCTGCCTGCGCAGCTGGGGAGGGAGAAAATCTTTGGTTTGTCAAAAAAGTTGAAAATCCTTAAAAAAAAAAAAAACATACTACCTCGGCACGCCTCCCCAGGAAAAGTCCTCTCCCCCTCCCCGTTTTTGCAAAAGTTGCATTTAAAAATAATAATAATAAAAAAACACCACCCATACCCCAGTTCTATATATATATCTTGTTTGTCGCACCACAATCTGTAAAAAAACAAACACAAAAAAACAAAACACCAAACACACACAAAAGTTTCCAAGCAGAAGAAACAGGATTTTTGTCCCGCTCCGTCCCTGCCTCTCCACCCCAAGGTCATTGGGAAAATAAATATATATATTTCCCCCCCCCTCTTGCTGCGGTGGGGGGGGAGTGGAGGAACTGCCGGGGCACGTGGCCCCCGAGAGCCCCCCCCGCCAACCCCCCCGCTTTAAGCCGCCCCCCCCCTAGCGGGGAACCTGCCCCGGGCTGCGCCTCTTTTTTTCTTTTTGCGGGCGCGCCGTGGGAAAAGGGGGCGAAAAAACAAAAAAGCAGCCCGGCGCCCGTTTGCCCGGTCCCGATAATTCACCTTCCATTTTGTGAATCGCCTCTTGATGAAAGAAAGTGCCGCTCAAATGGGCCCTCGGGGGCTGCCGGGGGGCCAGCCGGGCCCGGGGGGTCCTGGGGGTGGCGGGCGGGGGGCCGCCGGCGGGGCTCCTTGGCCCCTTCGCGCAGGCAGCCCGGCTGGCGGAGGCTGGGAGAGCCGCGAGAGCGGAGCGCTTCCCCCTCGCCCATCGCGGCCCCATTCGCTAAAATGGCTTCTCGTAAAGGCTCCGCGAGCTGCTTAACAAAGCCACCGGCGCTCGCCTCCGCCGATTCAGCCCCCGGGTCGGGCACCCCCGGCGGGCAGCCGGCCCGGACCCGGCTCGTTTGGTAGAAAAAGCGATGCTCTTTCCAACCAGCCCGGTTGCGGGCCGGAGAAACGCCGGGGGGGTCCCGAAAAAGCGGTCGGAAGGCGGCCTCCCCCCCCCCGCCTCACACACTCCCTGCCGTTCCCCCTGCTTAGCGCAATCGCCTGTCTAACAAAGGCAGCGCGCAGCCATTACAAGCCTCATTCCCCCGCGCCGAAGGGAGGGAAAGGGCGGAAAAAAAAGCCCTCCGCGGGACCCCAGCGGCCCGCGGAGGGCACGAGCGGAGAGAGATAAAGAGTGGGGGGCGGAGGAGAAAGGTTTGGGGGTTCGGGGCCCCCCCTCGGCGGATTTTGCCCCCGCGTCGCTCTCCCTCCCCGTCTCTGCCCGTCTTTCTTCCTTTCGGTCTGCTAGGGTAACGCCAGCCATATTAAGGCGCACACAGCAAAGCCTACGGCGGCAGCCCAGGGCGCGAGGAAGGGTCGGCTAAGGGTCTGGCGGCGGACGGAGGGCGGCCAAAAGGACCTTTTCCGAGAGGGGAAAAGAAAAGGAGGCGGAAACGAAAGGTCGGGGCCCGATCCGAGGCGGCGGAGGGGAAAAAAAGACGACAAAGGTGGGAAATGGGGGGGTTTATTTGGCTCTCCCCGGGACTCGCAACGACTTCGCCCCGGTCGGAAGCTCAAGGGGAAAAAGCCGTTATGAATGCAGAATACACAGCAGGGCGGGCAAGTTGGCCGTTGGCCCCCCCCGGGCCGGCGAGAGACACGCGGGCAAGCCCAGCCCGGAGCCGGATTCCTGCCCATGCGGGCTTCAGCCGCCGCTGCACCAGCCACGCTC